TTCCCCTACCAGGGATTGAACCCCGGCCTCCTACATTGGGGGCCTAAAGTCTTAATCACTGCCAGGGAATCCTCTGAAAGAGGTGAGTTGTGAACAGTAGGTAGATACTTTGCAGGAGAAGAGAACCTAGGAGAGTGGTATCAGACAGGAAGACAGTGGGAGGGCCTGTCAAGCCCAACCAAAGAAGTATGCGTAGAATGGAGGGGGAAAAGGTTGCAAGAGACAAATTCGGGGAAGTAGCTTGTCCTGACTGTCAGGGCCTGGTTCGCGAGTTAAGATGTGTGAGCATATGCTTGCTGGCAGTGAGAAACCAAAGAACTAGTGATGAAGATATTGGTGGAATGGAGGATGAACTAAGGGAGGACTGAGGATAGGGCAATCAGAAAGGTTTTGAAAACTGAGTGCAGAGGATGATGAAAGCATATTTAATTACACAAATAAGGGAGAAAAGCATGGTTTAAATAGCATGTGTAATGTGTTCTCATTTTTTATAACCAATCCCCAGGCATCTGCTCAAAGGGCAGAGGCCGTCAAAATATTAACATGGACTGTATTAAAAACATTCAAAATATTTTCATTTTTGCAGTATCCCCACTTTATGTGTCCATAAAAGGGGAAGGCAGAAGTATTTACAGGAAAATATGAAATATACAAAGTATGTCCATTGTCTTATTTTTATTAAATCATATTGAGCTAATAAACATTTTAATTAAATCATTTACCTATATATGTATATATGATTTAATAAATAAAAATATACATATAAAGGAAAGGATGTCCTCAAAATATTTAACATTTTGTTTCTATCTGCCAATTTTATAGGTGAAAAATGATATCTTAAGTTTCATTTGTTTAGAGTGATGTTGAGTGTATCTTATATGTAGGAGCCATTTGTATTTTTCTGTGAACTGTCTAGTCCTGTCTTCTGTTTTTGTATTTGGTTTTTAAATATTCGTAGGAGCTCTTTATGTTTTCTATGTTGCAATTAATTTGTCCTAGTGTTATTTATATTTTGTATTTATGCCTTTTATCCAATTAAACATTAATTTTTTTCATGTAGTCAGATGTTTCCTTTTTTATGCATGTTTGAATTTTGTGCTGTGCTGTGTAAAGTAGGCCTTACACACTTAAATATTTTAAAATTTCTCCCATGTTTTCTTTTGTATCTTCAAGATTTTGTTTCATTTTAAAGTTTTATTCATTTAGAATTTATTTTAATAAGGAATTAGATAAGAATTTGTGATAGAATAAAAAATATATGTTGTCTTTGTCCCTGGTTCCTTTGTCCCTGGTTCCTAACTAAAACCATGGGTTTCTGAGTGATAGGGGTGTCTTTCGTTACCTACTACAGTCCCCTTTAGAATACACCTGAGTCTTTGCGAATGAGGTGTGAGTCAAAGTAGGGAGCCTAGATAACCTCAGATAGAAGCTGGTCCCTGGAGAGAACAAACGTGATTAGAGGATGGGAAGTCTCAGCCCGCTGCCCCCAACCTCCAGAGAATGGATGTGGTGGAGGTGGGTTATAAAAATGCTTAAACAATCTGTGAAGGGACACATTGATGTCCTGGTAGCATGGTATATCCAGAGGGCATGGAATCTCTGTGTCACTCCCCTTACATCTGGTCCTGAGTACCTCTTCCATTTGGGTGTGCCTGAGTTGTATCCTTTATAATAAACTACTAAGTCAAGTGATTTCCTGAGTATTGCGTCAGTCTCAATATTTTTCAGTTTCCCCATGGAAGGGATTATGAAAAGCCCCAAATATGTCGCCAAGTTGGACAGAAGTGTGGGTAGCTTAGAGACCTTGGACTTATAACTAGTGTGTGAAGTGGAGACAGTCTTGTGAAACTGAGCCCTTAACTGTGGGGTTTGCACTATAGATAGCGTCAGAATTGAATTGAATTTCTGGATGGCAGTTTGGTGTCTGAGAATTGGAGAATTAGTTATTGATGTTTGGGAAAAAATTCACACAATCCAATTTTTTTTTTCAAGAGTAATGTTTTCTACCATTAATGTATAATGTAATTATTAGCATGTGCTACATTCCCAGGTGTCTCTGGATCTACTTTGGACTGTATTCACTTGTGTACTGTTGTAAGTATACACACCATATTGTTTCCTTTACTGTAGTTTTACAATATGTTTTAAGATTTGGTAGGGCCAGATCCTCTTCACCTTTTTTCAGAGATTTTTCTGGCTATTTTGTATGTTTGTTTTTTTAAATGAATGATAGAATTAATCTATTTTTTAAACATCTCTTTTTTTGGATCATAGATTGCTTTCAAAGCATGTATTTTTAAGTAAAACGTTTACTAGGTAGAATATTCAAATTAATGCAATAGAAGTGGAGATAGTGAAAGGCCAAGGGGTGAGAGGCATTTCTGACAAAATAGAATTTCAAAATATATGCTACATAGTTACCATTTATAGACTAGGAGTCAGAAGAGTTCAAGAAAATTCCAGAATAGGGGCAGGTTTTGTATGAGGAGGTGGGGTAATACTGATTTTGGGTAATGTTTTTGCTTTGTTGGCCATTCATTCTTTGAGTGTCTACTTTGTGGCAGAGTACTGTGCTTGGAGTAAATAGACACATGAAAAGAGAAGGCCCCTCCAAAGACTTCCTTCCCAGTACAGAGACAAACATACACCAACACACATAAATACACAATGTACTAAAAACCTATAATGGTATATATGATCTCAGTTCCATGCTATTATAGAAGACTTCCTAAAGCAAATCTTTTTCCTAACTATTGAAAAAATTTTATTATTATAAAAATAATACACATAAAAATAATAATAATCATAGAAAAATAGCAAAAGCAAATAAATTTAAATTCATAATCTTATCACTTAGAGATGACTGTGATGGTTAATTTTATGTGTCAGTGTGACTGGGCCATGGTGCCCACATATTAGGTCAAACATGTTTCTGAACATTTCTGTGAAAGTGTTTTTTTCTTAGATTAACATTTATTAATACATTGGTGGATTAAATATACTCTGTTGGTGGATTAAATATACTCTGTTGTAAAGCAGAGTATCCTACATAATGAGTGGGCCTCCTCAGCTGAAGGCCTTAATGTGATCAAAGACTTATCTCCCCCTAGCACGACGGGATTCTGCCAGCAGACAGCCTTTGGACTCTGCATCTCTTCCCTGTGCCTCCCGTCTGCCAGCCTACCTTGCAGATTTTGAGTTTACCAAACCTCTACGGTCATGTGACCCAATTCCTTAAAGGAAATCAATCTTGGACTTCCCTGGTGGTCCAGTGGTTAAGACTCCACACTTCCACTGCAGGGGGCAAGGGTTCATTCCCTGGTGGGGGAACTAAACTAAGATCCCATTGGCCATAAGATGTGCCAAAAAAAAAAAAAAAAATCTCTCTGTCTCTCTTCGTTTCTTTATTTTTGGGTGCACTGGGTCTTCGTTGCTGTGTGAGGGCTTCCTCTAGTTTCAGAGAGTGGAGGCTATTCTTCACTGCGGTGCAGGAGCTTCCCTGCCGGGCGCAGGCTCCAGGCACATTGCTTCAGTAGCTGCAGCTTGCAGGCTCTACGGCACGGGCTCGGCGGTCATGGTACACAACTAGTTGCTTCACATCCTGTGGAATCTTCCTGGACCAGGGATTAAACCCCTGTCTCCTTCATTGATAGGCGGATTCCTATCCACTGTGCCACCAGGGGAGTCCTCTCTCTCTCTCATTTTAACAGCAGATGATGCCCTAAATATCTTTAACAGCAGATACCCCATGAGGTTGGTTTTGTGTGTGTGTGTGTGTGTGTGTGTGTGTGTATACATACATATATAGATAGATAGATGAGATACACATCCTGTTGATCTTGTTTCTCTGGAGAATCTTGACTAATATGGATAAAGCTGTGAAAGGAGCAGAAATTTAAGAATGAATTTTCTTTTTTTTTGGCCATGCTATACAGAGTATGGAATCTTAATTCCCTGACCAGGGATCAAACCTGTGCTACCTGCAAAGTAAGTGCAGACCTAAGAGAAGTTACTTTATATATTTAAAGTATAGTTGATTTACAATGTTGTGTTAATTTCTGCTGTATAGCAAAATGATTTAGTTACACATGTGCTTACTCGCTGAGTCATGTCCAACTCTTTGCGTCCCTGTGAATGATAGCCCACCAGGCTCCTCTGTCTATGGGCATTCTCCAGGCAAGAACACTGGAGTGGGTTGCTATGCCCTCCTCCAGAGGATCTTCCCAACCCAGGAATTGAACCCAGGTCTCCCACATTGCAGGCAGATTCTTTGCCATCTGAGCAGGGAAACCCTTAGTTATACATACATACATATATATAATATATATATATATGTATTTCCTCATTTTTTTCCATTATGGTTTATCACAGGATATGGAATATAGTTCCCTGTACTATACAGTAGGACCTTGTTGTTTATCCATCTTATATATGATAGTTTGCATCTGCTAATCCCAAACTCCAAATCTTTCCTACCCCCAACCCCCACCCCCCTGTTGGCAACCACAGTCTATTCTCTATATCTGTGAAGTCAAATAATATAGTGAGGTAAGTTCTTCATTCTTTTTACTCCCCAGAGTTAACAACTATATAGAGACTCAGATATACTGAGTATATATCATATACTGCACATGTTTATAGACATACACAGAGTTCTTTTTCAAAACTGGTAAGCTATATATAATGTTCTGCAACCTGCTTTATTCATGACATATCATGGATATATTTCCAGAGTGTGACTTATTTGATTGTCACACATTCTCATATGTGACTCTTGACACTCATGTATGACTTTCTTTTGAGTACATTCTTTTTTCTTTTTTTCCTTTAATTTTTGCTGCACTGGGTCTTCCTTACAGTGCTTGGGGTTTCTCTCATTGTGGTGAGTAGGCTTAGTCGCCCCACACGGCATGTGGGATCTTAGTTCCCAAACAGGATCAAATCCACATCCCCTGCATTGGAAGGTGGAGTCTTAACCACTGGTCCACCAGGAAAGTCCCTGAGTGCATTCTTGAGATGGAATTGCTGGGTCATAGAAAATGTACAGGTTCAGTGTTGCTAAATAATACTATATTGTTTCCTAGAGTGACTGTCCAGTGTACTATATTTTAGAAAGCTATTTTCTTAGCAATGAATTACTTTATAAAAATAGCACTTGATTCTAAAATAGTTAATCATTAGAAAATTTGTTAGCTTATAGAAATGTGATCTATAGAAAACCTTTCAGGAATACTAGTATTACTTGTATTAATAACCAGTTATGATTAAACTCAATATTAACTTTTTAATAACCAGTTACAATTAAAACTTTGCAAAATAATTTGCTAATGTTTTTATTAGACTTACAATATGTTTATATTTGGTTCAGGTATGCTATTTACCATTACTTCAGAAGAACAACAATGAAGCATGTTAAAATCTGTTAATATAGTTATCCCTTGTCTGATTGTTCCATGTATCTGTGACTACTCATTAACCTCCTCTGGATAACTTTTTTTTTTGCCGCGTTGCATGGCTGGTGAGATCTTAGTTCCACAACCAGAGATTGAACCTGGACTCCTGGCAGTGAGGGACTCCTGGCGGTGAGAGTCCTAACAACTGAATTACCAAGAAATTCCCTGAACAGTTTTTTTTTCTAGTATGTGTTCTAGCTAAACAGTGTGCACAACACTGCCACCTCACATCCACAAGTGTTAATACAGGTGTGAATGTGAGGTGGGTATGGGCATCATAAGTAGTTGACAGATTTTATTTGGTATATTTTACCTGAAATCTATTTAACATTAAGCATCTATGAAATATGAATAGTAGCAAAAATGAACTCTTCTACTATTTCTTTTCCTCTTGAAATAAGTTCTCAATTACCATTTTAATACTTATATACAAGTATTTGGTGTTTACCACCTTGTTTCTTCTATTCCCCAGTATTTCTATATTACTTGCCATAGAATATAAACAAGTTCTTGACAAATTTATTTTTTAGACCCCCTTATTTTGTTCTCCCCTATTATATAATCTTTTACCTCATATTTCAAATCATCAAAATTCCTCTCTCTTGTCCTTCATCAAAACCATCCCTGGCAGATCTGGGAAAAACTGAATGGGTTGTGCCCCAAACCTGCAAACATTTTCTTACTGATGAAATGTGAGAATATTGAACTTCAAAGTCACGTGTGACCTCGGAGCATCAGGACTCTCGTTTCTGGATAGAGCTGTGTTTTTTGAGAGGTCTGGTAGCAAAGGGCAGGGATGCTGTGTCCCAGCCTCACTCCAGCATCCCCTCTGTGTGAATCACCAGTTTGGAGGGAGCCTGCAGACGTGAACTGTCAGTATCGGAGGTTTCCGTTGTTCAGGGTAGGACCTCACTGCCTAGGCTTGACAGCTCTGCCCAAAGGTAAACGTTTGTGGGCAATGACTCCTTATTTACAGTAGTCAACATAAAACTAGCTGGGCAAGTGATACCAAGAAGAAAGTAAGAGGACCCCCTCAAAAAGCTGGGGGTGCAAAGACTATTCTGTCACTCATGGGTTTCTGCATTTTAGCTGCGAATGTGAGCAGTTTTTGCGGTTCTCTTGGGACTTAAATTCCTACAAGAGCAGAAAGCCAAGCGTGGATTAAAAAAATAAACCCCTAAGGGGCTTTCGTTCATTGCAGAATCAGTACAGAGGTCCCTCTCTTCTCTCGCCGACTCTTATCCCAAGTGGGTGGCGACGGTGGGGAGCGCTGGGAAAGGACCGGAGCTTTTGCATTTCACCTCTGCAAAGTGGAGGTGGAGTGGCCCGCGGCTCCGCAGGAAAGCGTCCACCGCCGATTGCAAGTCGAGGTCTGCCGACGCCGAGCCCCCGGCGGGAGGAGGGGGCGGGTTCAGGGAGTCCCTCCCTCGGGGGCGGGGCCAAGGGCTTCTTCCCAGCCCGGCTCTGCTGAGAGGAGGTCTTGCAGGCTCCAGTTGAGTATAAAAGAGATGCAAATCCCGCAAGAAGCCACCGCACTTGTCAGCGGATCTGGTGATTGATAAAGTCCCTGGGGCTCTGCACCGGTCACCTCCCTCAAGCTCCACAACTGAACGTCGGAGCCAACCCTCGGACCCTTGCAGTCGGAACTTTACAGCCGCGGGAGACCTGAAGGCGGTGGCAGCGGCCCAGGAAGGAGCAGCAGCGCCGGGGTAAGTCTGGGCAAGTGTTTATCTCGCCGTGTGCCCAACTTTCTGATTGAGCGGCCCGCCTGTCCTATACCCGGGGCCTTTATGAGTCTGCATTTCTTTCTCTTCATCAGGATAGGTAAATTATGTCATGGGATTCCAAGGCTTTCTTTTCATCCATTTACTTTTGATGGTTTTCACTTGTTTTATCCCACTGCTGCCTGTTACCAAACAGCATGAATGAATGATGCAATCCCACATAGGGGAGTCATCAGTACAAGAGTAGGAAAAGTTCCAGAATTTAGAGTTGCAGTATCTGACTTCGTCAACTTCTTTTTCATCAGAATTCGAATTTTAAATATGTATTTACCAGATACTTTGTTGTACGGCTTCAAGCCCGGAATTAAATAAATAATGCTTCCATTCATAAACTTAACGTTCTAAGTTTTCCTTATATGTGACCTGCACATGGTGTTTACTCTTTAAATATTTGACTACTGGATTGAAATGAGGATCAGGGAAGAAAAATGAAATCCAGAATTTCTATATGCTATCTCCACTGCCCTATGTGTTCTCAATATAATTATCCTAGTCCTGTCACTTTCATATTGGAAAACAAAATACTCAGAATGTTTTAAGTTTTCAGATTATCTGATACATATCTAATAACTTTTCTTTTTTGGCTGGGAAACTCGACACGGGAAATCTTAGTTTTTCCCTGACCAGGGATCAAACTCAAACCACCTGCTTTTGAAGCAAAGAGTCTTAACCACTGAACCACCAGGGAAATACCCCTTATAACTTATTTTTAAGCTTACATTTTATTGATGTATAATCTAATGCAACAATATGCACCCATTTTAAGTGTACATTTTGATGAATTTTGACAGCATTGTACACACTTATATTCACCATCACAATAGAATACTTCCATCTCCCCTAAAAGTTTCCTAGGGTCTCTATAATTTTTGTCATTATAGCACTTGGTATTTTCTAGGGTTTCATATAAACAGAATCATACTCGTTTGTGTCTGGCTTCTTCTGGTCAGTATAATTTTTTAAAAATATTTATTCATGTTATGATGGTGGTTAGTTTAGTCACTAAGTCGTGTCCAACTCTTGTGAACCCATGGACTGTGGTCTGCCAGGCTCCTCTGTCAATGGGATTCTCCAGGCAAGAATACTGGGGTGGGTTGCCATTTCCTTCTCCAGGGGATCTTCCTAACCAAGGGATCAAACCTGGGTCTCTTGCATTGCAGGCAGATTTTTACCAATTGAGCTATTTATGTTATAGTATGCATTGGTAATTTATTCCTTTCTTATTGCTGAGTAGTGTTCTGTTTATCCCTTTATCTGTCGTTTGGGCTATCATGAATAAAGCTGCTTTGAATGTGTTTTCATTTCTCTTAAATACACCTCCAGGTATGGGATTGCTGACTGACTCTTACAGTAAGTAAATGTTTAATTTCGTAAGGAACTGCCAAACTGTTTTCCAAAGTGGTTGTACAGTGTTGCATTGTATGAGAGTTCCAGTTGTTCCGTGTCCTCACCATTACATGATAATGTCAATCTTTTTAAAGTTATTCTTCTTTTGAGCTTATTTGCACATCTTTTTTGAGATGCCTTTTAGGATTTCTTTTTGCTCATATTTTAATGGGCTGTGTGTTTTATTGAGTTGTAAAAGTTCTTTATTCTAGATAAAAGTCCTCTCAAATATGTGGATTGTGAATATTTTCTCCCATTCTGTGACTTACCTTGTTTTCCTGTTTCTTATGGTGTCTTTTGAAAAGCAGTTTTTAATTTTGATGAAGTCCAATCTATCATTTTTTCCTTTTATTATTCATGCTATTTGGGTTTTCTTTAAGAAAATGTTTACCAATTATGGTTGTTCTATTAGGTATCTATCCCTGCATAACAAATAATCCCCAAATTCGGCAGTTTTAAAAGACAAACATTTATTTTCTTACAGTTTCTGTGGGTCAGAAGTCTGGGAACAGCTTATCTGGGTGGTTCTGGATAGGGTCTCTTAAGGGGTTGCAGTTGGCCAAGGTCAACTTATCTGAACACTTCAGTGGAGGAAGATCTGCTTCCTCGTGCGCTCATCTGGTTGTTGACAGGATTCAGTTCCTTGAGGGTTGTTGGACTGAGGTCTTCAGTTTCTCCCTGGCTGTTTGCTGCCAGTTCTGCCACATGCATCTCTCTTAGGGTAGCTACCAACATGGCAGCTGCCTTCTGGTAGAGCAAGGAGTGGGGGTGGGGCAAGAATGGAAGCCACGTTCTTCTTTTAAAGTGACAACAGGTGCACACACTCTTTATTTTTTGGCCTTACCGCCTGGCTTGCAGGGTCTTAGTTCCTTGACCAGGAATTGAATCCAGGCCCTGGCAGTGAAAGCACTGAGTCCTAACCAAAGGGCCACCAGGGAATTCCCCTAGATAAACTCACTTTAAAAAACCCACTTTGTTTGTGTGTGTGATTAGAAATAATTATGGATTCACAGAGGGCTGCAAAGAAATATACAGGGAAATCTCATGCACTTCCCCTTCTCCCATGTCCCTTCCCCTGAGGCCAACATCTAAAGGAACTGACTCTGGCACAATCCATAGAGCTTGTTCAGATCTCACAGTTATATACACTCATTTATGTCAGTCTAATTTTGCAAGTGATATCCTATCACCTCTGCCTCATTCTGTTCACTGGAAGAGAGTCACTAAACCCAGCTCACTATCAAGGGCAGGGGGTTAGAGATGGGTTGGAATAGCAGGAAGTTGGTTCATTAGGTGTTGTTTGTTTGTTTTGGTTTTTTGGCCAAGCTGTGTGGCTTGCGGGATCTTAGTTCCCCAACCAGGGCTCAAATCCAAGACCTCTGTACTGGAAGCACAGAGTCCTAACCACTGGGCCTCCAGGAAATTCCTACTAGGGGCCATTTTAGAGGCTGCCTGCCACAGGAGTGCAATTTTCCTCCTGCATTTTAGAAGTCTTATAGTTTTAGCTTTTTTTGTTTAGGTCTTGATTCATTTGGAGTTGATTTTTGGCATTGGACTACAAGTTTTATTATTATTTTTACATAATTTGTCATTGGACTACAGGTTAGGGAAGGATGTACATTTCAGTATTTCTATGTATAATTAAAACTACCAGGTAGGATTTCAGTATAATGACTATCAGAGTCTTGTCATATTCATATTGGTGAAACAAAATAGAAAGAACATTTTAAGTTTTCACATGATTTAATACATGCCCAATTGAAAAAAAAAAAGGTAAGTAGCAATGTACAAATTCTAAATTAGAAGAGAAAAAGAGCCTGCCTTTATAATTAAAAGAATTTCTCCTTTAGATGTAAATGGATCAAAGGAGAAAGAATAAACTATCTTAAAGAAGCAAATTAAGGCCTTCTCTGGTGGTCCAGTGGTAAAGAATCCTCCTGCCAATGTAGGGGACACAGGTTCGACCCTGGGTCTGGGAAGATCCCACATGCCTCCGGGCAAATACCAGTGTGCCACAACTACTGAGCCCGGGCTCTGGAGCCCGCGAGCCTCAACTACTGAAGCCTGTACACCTAGAGTCCGCACTCTGCAACAAGAGAAGCTGCCTCGATGAGAAGCACCTGAACAAAGAGTAGCTCCCAATGGCTGCAACTAGAGAAAGTCCAGCCACAGCAAGAAAAACCCAGCCGTACCAAAATAAAATAAAATACATACACACATAAAAAAATAATTCACGCTTGAAAAAGAAACAAACAAAAAAGGAGCAAATTGGAAATAGTACCATTCTTGTGCTGCCATTCCGGGCAGTGGGTTGTCTCCTAAGAGGAGCAGCTTCCGGGGAGGGCCAATAGGATGCAGCTCTCACGGGCCTGCAAGGCAGCAGGATTCAGAACACCTGCAGAAGCTCAGCAGAGTGTGGAAGACACGCTGGGCTTGCATGCTCAGGTACAAGGCTTGGAGTACAGCTTGTGCTCTTGCTCCTTCTCGGGAGTATCATCCTCTATGACTGGTGAGAGAAAGGGTACCCCAGACCGTTTCTGAGTGCAGTGAGGACTATATTTGAACTTCCCGGAAGATTTCTTTCCATTCTGTTGCTTTCCTTTGTCAAGCCCCACTTGACTTGACTTTGCTCTTTCTTGCTGCTTGTTCTTAACTGCTTCTTTTTGTCTGTTTGTTTCTTCTGAGATTTAGCCCCTTCGTCCACTTCTTTTTACAGTTTAAATGATGAGGATAATAATTGGAAGTTGTTGGCTTCGTTCCCTTCTTACGGGGCAGCAGGGTTCCTCTCTGACTATTCTTGGAATGTTGTTGACTTTCCTCATTTTGAAGGCAGCAGGGACCATTTTGCACAGTCTGTAATGTTCCTACATTGGCTTCTCTGTATTTGTATTTTGTTTTCCCCCAAGATCCTCTTCCCTTTTTCTCTCCTTTCCCTTGCCTCTGAGACATGCCAATCAGGTGTAGGTGATTTTTCTATCAGATTCGAAGCTTTTTCTGGTTTAAAGCCACAGAAAAGGGTATATGTCCTCTTCTGTGGAGCTTGAAGGAGGCAGATGTGAAGTATTTCCCAGAGAAGGTAGCCTTAGGAGACTTTGCAGCCAACTTTTCTTTGTTCTAGTCCTACATAGGGAGGATAGTGAAGCTAGACAGTCTCTTTCTTCTCCTGTGTCTGGACCTTGATGTTGATTTCCCAGTTCTTTCTAGGCTCTTACTCTTGCAGAACTCATGAGATCTCTCTTAAAGAAATTTGTAGTCAGAACTTTATCCTGAATTTCTTTATCCCCCACCCCCTCCCCAGGAAAGAAGTGGGAAGAGAAGACCGTTGTCTCCTGGGAATCCAGCACTGAAGAAACGTGAGTCCGATTTGTCAGTTGTTGTTGTCATTGTCAATGTTATATGTTTATCAGTTATCAGTTTACTCTTCACCTGCATAAAAAGAATTGTCTGCTGTAAAGCTATGTGGTACACATACAATCTCGGTTTCCCTGAAGAAGAGCTGTTTTGTTTTAAATCATAAAAGGTACTATAAATGCATTGGCAGGAACCCCCTGTCCTAGTTACAGGAAGGCTCTTTGACTCTCCTCTGATCCAGAAACCTCTCAGACTGCATTGGACCTTGTTTCATTGCTTGGAGGGCCCCAAACAGCCTCACCACCAGGACCAAAGCCACCCAGATAATGCCCTTCTGAGTCCAGGAAGCTTTGCTCTGTTGACTTCCTCAACCTCTGTACCAGCTTATATTTTTTTTACATAGGTGAAGGTAAGAGGTCAACCCCAGCAAAAGGGGGAGTTGGTGAAGGTGACCTTAGATGTCTCTTGTGAGACACTTAGATGAGAAGCTGGAAGAGAGTTTGTTGGGATGAGAAAGTTTTCTCCTTCTTATCTAACATCAGACTTCCTAAGGTTGGCCTTGAAGGAAAGCTTGCTTTTTTACTTTTGGAACTGGGAGTGGGTGACAAGAGGTTGTCAGCTGTGGCTTCTTTACCAATTGGCCCTCTGCTTCCCCATGGTGGACCTGCTTGGGGTCGGGTGGGCAGGAGTCCTGTCCTGAGCCCCAGAAGGCAGTGGTCTAGGGATCGGGACCAGGCTTGGGAACTGCCATGTCTAAACACAGACCTTTCCACCAGGATTTCTTCCACCCCTGTCCTGTCTCCCTTCCTTGCTAGTCTGGATGTGAGGGCTCCAGAGTCCATTCTCCAGCAACGATTTTTCTAATGTACACAATTCACTTTGAAGCAATTGAACTTACTCAGCAGATTTCCCTTCCCACCCCAGAACTATGAGAATTTTGAATTTGTACGAATCACGAGTCACTCCTGGTGGAGACGATGAAAAAAAAAGAGAACCAGAAGTGAACAGGGAGATAGAGCATTTTACAGTGGGGGCTGCAAAGTGCTGAAGGAAGCTGAATTTGCTCTGTAGTCTAAGCAGGGGATTGAAACCCATGTAAGCTGAGGAGTGGAGGGCATATCCCCTGGCACAAGCATTCTGGGGGCAAGGTTAAGGTCATATAATCTAGCTCTGTCTTCTAGGGAGGGCATGGAGAAAAAAATTAGCCTTCCAGGTAGCTTCAGTGTAATGTTTGTGCACAGCTGTTAGCATAACTAGCCCCATCTTGGGTCCTTAGAGTTTCTCCTGTCCTTCTGCTGACCCTACCCAGCACTGTATTGTGCAGTGAATCACTTCTCTTTCGTCAGCAGCTTTGCAGTTAATAGACATTGTTTAATAATCACCAGGGCCAGGTAGCTCTATGCTCTGTTAGTCCCCAAACAATGATGAAATCGGGACCAGGCTTGGGAACTGCCATGTCTAAACACAGACCTTTCCACCAGGATTTCTTCCACCCCTGTCCTGTCTCCCTTCCTTGCTAGTCTGGATGTGAGGGCTCCAGAGTCCATTCTCCAGCAACGATTTTTCTAATGTACACAATTCACTTTGAAGCAATTGAACTTACTCAGCAGATTACCCTTCCCACCCCAGAACTATGAGAATTTTGAATTTGTACAAATCACGAGTCACTCCTGGTGGAGACGATGAAAAAAAAGGGAACCAGAAGTGAACAGGGAGATAGAGCATTTTACAGTGGGGGCTGCAAAGTGCTGAAGGAAGCTGAATTTGCTCTGTAGTCTAAGCAAGGGATTGAAACCCATGTAAGCTGAGGAGTGGAGGGCATATCCCCTGGCACAAGCATTCTGGGGGCAAGGTTAAGGTCATATAATCTAGCTCTGTCTTCTAGGGAGGGCATGGAGAAAAAAATTAGCCTTCCAGGTAGCTTCAGTGTAATGTGTGTGCACAGCTGTTAGCATAACTAGCCCCATCTTGGGTCCTTACAGTTTCTCCTGTCCTTCTGCTGACCCTACCCAGGACTGTATTGTGCAGTGAATCACTTCTCTTTCGTCAGCGGCTTTGCAGTTAATAGACATTGTTTAATAATCACCAAGGCCAGGTAGCTCTATGCTCTGTTAGTCCCCAAACAATGATGAAAACCCTCCCTGACATATTTCCAGCACCCCCAAGACTACTTAACCATTCATCAATCTTGGCTTAGGAGTGCATGCCCTGTTCCCAAGTACCCTGATTATATGGATCTGCCTGCCTCATTTGTTGCTCTCAAGATGCCTTCTCAGTTTGTGGGTACTTTTTCCCCCTCTGTCCTCCAATAGTTTGTCTCAAACATCCTGTCGTGGGAACCACAGTGCAACCTATAGGTGTCAGCAGTTCTAAGTCAGGACTACTGTTCATCCAGGTTTGTAGAAATCAGTCCTTACTTCATTAGAGAAAATGTATGTTTCCTTTTGTATTTGAGGCTCATGATCTGGTTGAAGCTATTGCTGGTATCAGTGGTTGGAAAGAGGCTCAAGGCTCTGGCTTTTCAAATGTGAGCAATAATGATTTGTTCAGCCATCCCAGTGAGACTGAGAGCATCTTGAAGATGGTGCCCATTCTGTGTTTCCCAGATCTTGTGCTGGGCACAGAGTGGCACTGTGGACTGGCTTCATTGTCTTTGAAGAATAGTCTGAATTTTTTTTTTTTTTTTTTTTTTTTTTATTTATTTGACTGTGTTGGTCTTAGTTGCAGCATGCGGGATCTTTCATTGTGGCGCATGGATTCTTCAGTTCTGGCACGTGGACTTATTTTCTCCGTGGCCTGTAGGATTTTAGTTCCCTGACCAGGGATTGAACCCACGTTCCCTGCACGTCAAGGTGGATTCTCAACCACTGAACTGCCAGCGAAGTCTCCAGTCTGAATTCTTGGTGGAAGTCTTTGACATTTCCTGGATCCATGTTATGTTCTTAACAATGTCTAACTTTACTTAATTCTGCTTAATTTATCCACATCTTTTATGTTGTCTCTGTACATTTGAGATCCAAATTTCAGTTCTTTGGCCATCACTTTTGTATGACCTTGGGTAAAGCATTTAATTCCTTATACCTCTATTAGTTAATTTGGTAAATGGATGTATCTGTATTGTTCCTGTAGAAAGGCACAGGACTAGCCCCAGATAATGGCTTTGAGCTTCCTTCCAACTTCGGAATATATGATGTTGATTCTGTTTCTCTGTGGTAGTCGTCATTTCTGGTTAAGGATTTTCATTTTAGGGTAATAGCGTACTAAATTGGAATTGTTTAATTGAGAACAGTAATGTACTTGATTCTGTGTTGGGTTCTCATTAACTGCTTAGATTCAACTCTAATTCCTGAAACATTTCAATTTAACACCCACTGTGCTAGAACAGTGGAGAAGGCAATGGCACCGCACTCCAGTACTCTTGCCTGGACAATCCCATGAACGGAGGAGCCTGGTAGGCTGCAGTCCATGGGGTCACAAAGAGTCAGACACGATTGAGCAACTTCACTTTCACTTTTCACTTTCATGCATTGGAGAAGAAAATGGCAATCCACTCCAGTGTTCTTGCCTGGAGTATCCCAGGGACTGCGGAGCCTGGTAGGCTGTAGTCTGTGGGGTCGCACAGAGTCGGACACGACTGAAGCGACTTAGCAGCAGCAGTGCTGGAACAGAAAAGTAATTCAGTCAAGGTCCCTACCCTGAAGGAACTCACATTCTAGGAGAGGAATGGGGGTAATTAATTAATTCTTGGTGGGGACTATGAAGGCGATAGGATGGGGGAAATAATTTAATCTGCACCTTGAAGAATAAATAGGAATTTGCCCCTTATCTGCCTCTGATTTCAGGCAGAATAAACAGCATTTGCAAAGATATAGAGAACTAAAAAACCATGACATGTTTAAGGAGCAAGAAGTCCTCTGTATTCCTTGAGTGTAAAGTATGTGTATGTGTATGTGAGTGTTTGTGAGGGGAGGAAAGTGGTGGGAAGCAGACTGGTGAAATGGAGAGGATTTGAATCGTGAAGGGCATAAATGAATCAAGTAACAGAGACATTATGTTGATTTCTATGCTAATAATGAGAAATGGATAAGCAGGGACATTCTGAGGTGTGCTGTGATTAACCTGATTTGATTCCACAGTTGTCAGCGGCCAAACCTGAATACAGGCAGGTGCCAACAGTATAGTTAATAAATGCAAATGACTATGTATGTTAAAAAGAGCCTTTACCTTTTAAGTATATACATTGAAATATTTTTGTATGAAATGATACGACTTACTTTGAGATAGGTCAGATTTATCTCAAGATGGAATCCTGTGGATGTGAGAATGTGATTTGTAATAAACACGTGTTTGGACCTGTCCTGTTTCTGACACAGAGCTCCTATAGCCCTTGGAATTTTCCATGATGAGACAGATAAAGATGTCTCTTGTGTGAATGAGGTGACTTTTGGACCTACCTAAGGATGAGGGCTGTTTGCCAGGAGAGCCAACCATGTGACGAGAGGGTTGGAACCTTCGGTCCCACTGACCTGACCCCGAGAGGGGTTAGAGGCTGAGCTCGGGCACCAGTGACCAATGATTTCATCAAGCGTGCCTTTGTAATGAGTCCTCCTCAAAACCCACAAAGGATGGGGTTCTAAGAGCTTCTGGGTAGGTGAACATGTGAAGATTTGGGCAGAACGGCGATCCTGGAGAGGGCATGGAAGCTCCCCTCCCCTCCCACATATCTTTGCCCTGTGCATTTCTTTCATTTGCTTTTCCTAAGTTATATCCTTTAATAATAAACCTAGTAAATTTTGAGAGTCTCTGTAATGAATTAATTGAACCCAAGGATAGGGTTGTTGGAACCTCCACTCTATAGCTGGTCAGTCAGAAGCACAGGTGATGATAATCTGGACTTGTGACTGACATCTGGAGAGAGAGTGTGTGTGTGTGTGTCGGGGGTAGAGTGCAGTCAGTCTTGTGGACTGAACCTTTAACCCGTGGAATCTGATGCCCTCTCTGG